TTACCGGTTCCTCCTCTGCTTGAGGTCTTTTTCGTTTTGGAGGGGGTCGACCCCTCCATAATGTCCAGTCCTTGATCAAGTTTGTCTTCGGAGGTTCCTCATGTCGACGTAACAGCCCTTGATGCGTTGTTCGTCCTTGCCGGCTTCGTCGTTCCTCCTGGTCTTCCAGCCGCTTGCTGGCACGAGACCGTGGCGCCAAGTCCTCTCTCCGGCATCCGAAGGTTCCCTGGGGAGTCACAATATATATGGCATGAAAATGCTACACAAATAGCTTAAGCCAGTTAGACCAATTTTCAATTGGAAGGATAGCCCAGGTTATAAACTGGCAAAATACGTAGCCACACAACTATCACATGAATTACAGTTACACCATTTTTATAATGTAGAAGAATTATGTTATCCATAATATTAAGCGCATAGAAATGAACAAAAACGTTAGATTGTGTTCCTTCAAAATCGTGAACATGTACACAAATATATCTAGTGTTGAAGTAAAGAACTTGATAAAAGAAATATCCTCAATAATGACAATCGAATACTTGTATTAGAAAAGCAGGAATTGGAAACCCTGTTAAATACTGTCCTTGAACATAACTGCTTGCAATTGAATGACCAGTTTTACAAACAGGATGAAGGTTTGGCAATGGGAGCACCTACATCAGATATTTTAGCAGAAACCTTCATACAACATCTGCAACGTAAGAAATTATCAGAATCCTAGATAAACACCAGATTATCAATACTGTAGATATGTTAATGACATATGAATTATATATGACACACTTCTTATATAGAAAACACCAATAGTGAATTCAGTTCCATACACCGAAGCATAAAGTTTACCATGGAGAAAGAAGTACACCATACCTTAAATTACCTAAATTTAACCATTACTAATGACCATAAAAAGCTAACATTTGGCATATATAGGAAACATAACAGTACTGCCCTATTCATATATAATGATTCCTGTCACCCAAGTGAACATAAAAGATTGACTAAAATATTTGATTAACCATATGACTACATACCCAGTTACCCATGAAAATAAGATGGTGAAACTAAACACTATAAATGAGATACTAGCCAACAATCACTACTGATGACTCATAACCAGTACAACACAAAACCAACACATCAATCCTAAAAATCTACAAAATAAAACAAAAGACAAATGGACCACCTTCAAATATCATGGCCCCGAAACAAGATTAATTACAGAATTATTAAAAAATTCCAATTTAATAATGTTTATAACTACTAAGGTTATAAAAATTACTTAAAACTGACAAATGAAGTGATATATATATATATATATATATATATGTATATATGTGGTAGAGTCATTAAGTTCTTGGAATGTGGTTTTATTGCATCATATTACAAGGTATTCACATACACTTGCACAGATCCACATCAGCCATCAAAATAGTTGCCGTTGGCCGCTATGCAAACATGCCAACGTTGATATAATTGCCGAAAACATTGCTGAAACATATTGGCAGGAAATTCCCGTACGGTGTCTCTTGTGGCAATGACCACCTCCTCGGACGACTGAAATCTATGATCACGTAGCTTTGCTTTCAAGTGGTGAAAGAGAAAGAAATCGCATGTTGCGAGATCAGGTGAGTATGGAGAGTATGGCAAAATGGTAACCTGTTGACTTGTCAGTTCCTCTTGGACAAGAACAGAGCAATATGGAGGGGCATTGTCATGTAGCAACAGCCAATTTTTCCTACGCCTAATGTTTTGCTAGGGGATTTGCCTAGTTTTTGGCAGAACTTGATGTTTGCCCATTGTTCAAAATGCCACATTTTCAATTTCCGCCACTTGCATTTAACTGCAGTTCACAATAGAGGTCGTAGTTCTACTTACACTGTTTGCACACGACTGCCTCCTGCTGTGATGAGAGATGAACCGACAGGGCATCATATTGTGCCTCAACCTATCCACTGTAGTGCACTGAAATGACACTTTGTGGCCATTCCACGAACTTATTGACTGTGGTAGTATATATGGGGCACGTGGTAGAGTAGTTGGTTGAGGGGCTATGCTACAAGCTGGAAGGTTGTGGGTTCAAGTGCCGATGAGGTCATTGGATTTTTTCAGTTGACCTAATCCTTCCAGCTGCACTATGGCCCTGGGGTTGACTCAGCCTCTAACAGAAATGAGTACCAGGAATTAATTACATAATTTTCCTGGGGGTAAAATGCGGCCGGCACATAAGACTGACAACCTTACCGCCATCTTTGAGCCGATTTCTAGATATTGTGTGTACTTGCTCAGCTTGCTCTTTGACCTTGAAAATATTCCTCTGAATCACTAGTGAACTTCTACCAGGCTACATGGCACCAGATCCCAGAAGATAATATCTTTCAGATTTATCCTTCTCAGAATATCTCTTGTAGATTGAACAAACAATTTCATTGTTCCTGTCACTGGTTGAACGACTGCTCTTTTTGGATTGTTGTTCAGGGTCTGTGATAAGGCACTGTGACATTCACTGAAGGGCATCAAGGAAGTTAATGAAAAATTTGATATTTAAAAATGATTTCAGAATTTGATCTGTTGATTTGATTATTGTGTTTTATTCATTAGTTAACTGGTTCCGTCGTGAGCCTGGTCGAACAGAGTCCACCAGTAGTTACGATGACAGTGCTTCTCCAGTTGAAGGTGGCTTCATACGTCAAGCTTCACTGCACCATTCTTACAGCAAAAGTTTACACAAGACTGGTAGTAGGTAAGTATTATGATCAAAATCTTGTTATAATCTCATTTTAAAAAAGCCCACATGTATTTTAGAAAAGAAGTTTTATTGAGAAGTTACAAATGCTTACAGATTGTGGTCTTCAGGGCTCTGACCCTGTGTAATTTTGTAGGAGCATGGTTCAGTCTTGAACAGAGGCAACATGTTCCTCTCAGACATCAGTGTCCACTTACAAGACTATATGTTATCACAACCTAGAAGACAATCTGAATACTCACTACCATAAGTTACAAATGGTCTGTGTATGCATCAGGAGTAGAGAAAACAAAGATATGAACATAAAACTTTGGTAGGGGTGTCTCTTGTATGTACAACTGGAAGAACAAATAATCTGCACTATTGCACAGATGTAGCATGCTATTAATATATTTGTGTCTTTCTTTTGTCAGCAGTCACATGGGCCAAACATTACAAAAAGCTAAGAAGCGAATGGAAGATCATTTCAACAAATTTGGTTTTGGGAAAATGAAGAAGAAAGATGGGAGTGTGGAAGAAAATTCAGGGAGCTGTGAGTTTCTTTCTAAATCGAAATTATTTAAGCACCCCAGTAAAGAGTAGAAAATATAATCAGATACGATTTAAGAAAGGTAAAGCTATCCCTGCAACAAGCCATGGAGGCCCATAGGGCTGTGAGATGTCAGGGCTTCCACATTTTCTAGACAGTTGGCTCACAGATGACGATATTGTCAGCCTTATGCACCGGCCGCATTTTACTCACAGGTGTATTCCTGGTACTCATTCCTGTTAGAGGCTGAGTCTACCCCAGGTCTATATTGCAGCTGGAAGGATTAGGTCAATTGAAAATCCAGTGACCTCATTGGGATTCAAACTCATGACTTCCTGGCTTGTAGCATAGTGCCTCGGCCAACTATGCTAGCGCGTGCCCCCTCAGATAAGACTTGGTATATGTAAATGTAAAGAAGTTGATGATTTATTTAAACCGTCTTGCAGTGCATACACTCATCTATCTCCTTCTCTCACTCGCACTACATGTTTCGGCATAATAATGCCATCTTCAGGTGCTTACTCATCCACGCCAAACTAGTTCATTGCATGCCTTGTCCTCACATTAAAATAACTAAAATATATATCTATCATATATATTGACAAATGTCGAATGTTAAAAATATTAAAATTGTTCAGGATTCCACATCGCTACGTCGCACCTCACTACGCCAATCACGCCCATTCTCCTCTGTTGGAGCCCTCCTTCACTATTGTGTGTGTGTTGTGCTTTTGTTGTGTCTTGCTCCTGTGACTGCGTGTGTTATACTGTTGGGCCTGCTGGGTATGTGTGTGTGTGTGTTCTGTCTTCGTTTTGAGTGAAACTCACTGTGACTGCGTGTGTTATACTGTTGGGCCTGCTGGGTATGTGNAAAAGCACAACACACACACAATAGTGAAGGAGTGCTCCAACAGAGGAGAATGGGCGTGATTGGCGTAGTGAGGTGCGACGTAGCGATGTGGAATCCTGAACAATTTTAATATTTTTAACGTTCGACATTTGTCAATATATATGATAGATATATATTTTAGTTATTTTAATGTGAGGACAAGGAATGCAATGAACTAGTTTGGCGTGGATGAGTAAGCACCTGAAGATGGCATTATTATGCCGAAACATGTAGTGCGAGTGAGAGAAGGAGATAGATGAGTGTATGCACTGCAAGACGGTTTAAATAAATCATGGACTTAAATCAGTGCAACAGGACGCTAAAATATAACATTAGTAAAGAAGTTGCATGAGCATCTTTTTATTTTGTGTTTTCTCTGCTTGTCATTGTCTCAGTTGGTCTGTCCTCTATTACCAGTCCAGTGTATGCACTGTTAGTTCTGTTTCAACTCTTTCCAAACAATTTATGATCATGATTATGGTGTCATAAGCATCAGAAGCATGGTACAGTGTACTTTGTAATGTCTGATGATTCTCTGTCCATTTATAGCATAATGTCGTGCAGGAGATCTCATTAATTCAAAATCAGAGGGATATCTATCAGATGTTTTCAAATTGTTTGATCTTCAGTACAGATAATACTTGTTGTGTGTGTTGTAGAATGTACTTAATGATGCACTGTATTAGTCCATTAAATATACATGGCCATGACATTAGCCTCTTCAGATCCACTTTTCCTTCTACAGGCATTATGTATGGTAGATGAGTTGGCTGTCACAAAGAGACAGATTGCTTTCCAAATGTTTAAGGTGATTAAGTGAAGAACTTAGTTTCAAATTCAGGAAGGTTCATTAAGTCATCAGACATTTTTACACTATATGCTGAGTTTATTAAAATTCATAATTTATATTTTACTACTCACAAGGACTAAGTGATGATTCTGAAGTAAAGTTGATCACATTAAATGAAGTCAAAAACATATTGTGGCATGTCTAACCGTTGCTGGGCAACGGGAGGTGGAACGAGTTACCACGACCCTTCATAAACAGTCGGTTGCCAGGTCATGCAGCAGTAAGGAAACCAGTGTTTCTCCATGCTGTGCCAAGGAGAGCCGAAGGGAGCTGAGCTGAGCCAAGCTGAAGCACGCTGCTTGCTATGCAGCAATAAAAAACTCTTGGCAGCGTTGCCCAGCAACACCTGTAAACACGGTGATTACGCAACAGGGAAGTGAGGTGCATTTTCCACTGTGTGGCTGAGGGTTTATAAGAGAACTGGAATGCCTAAGGAGTCAGTTGAATGGTAGCAGTTGCTGAGTTCAGTTGTAGCGAGTGAATCATGAAGACGACCGGAACGTGTGATTAGAGGTGATGGTGTGAGATGGAATTGGGAGTTTGTAATACAGTGACACTGGTATAGCTCCTGCATTGTCCTGTGAATAAGTGAACACTATTGAAAATAGAGTGAATAGATTATTGTGTAGGGTTTATAAATTGGGTAAACCTGCAACTGTGTTATAATTAATTGCAGTTACGATTTGTAGGTTGTTAAATAAACCAATTAAAAATCTGAATGGCATCTTTAGAGACAAAACACGTTACATTTGGTGTCAGAAGTGGTTTACAAACTTAAACATGCCACAATTTGAACTGAAAACTGAAGTGTGTGTTTACAGTGTTGCCATATGAAAATGGAACAAATATTCGAAATACTGAAAGAGATGAAGGCCGACCAAGCGAAGGCAGAGGCCAAAAGGAAGACAGACAAAGACGATTTCATGGCAAAATTAGACGCCAACCAACAAAAAGCGGAGATTGGCCACAAGGCATTGCTGGCCAGATTGGAGGATGACAGACAGCCCAACCGAAGAGCACTGAAGGAAATGATGGAGGAGATGATGGACATCAACCAAGCCAGAATAGATATAAAGCTTAAGGAGCTTACGAAAAGAATTGAAAAAACACAAAGGGAACTACAATCAGTGGAAAGTGTCCCTCTGCGCGCAGACAAATAAACTCCAGGAAAACCTGACAAAAACTATAATGAAACCTGCACAGCAATTGATGTAGCCAAATGCGAGTTCCAGGCCCGGTTGCATGAGACAAGACAGATGAGGGCCGAGCAGGGAAACACATCAACTGTTCTAACGGGCACAGCTCAGCCACTGAAATTGAACGGGAATTCAACGTGGAGTGTGTTCCAGCTACAGTTCGAGATCATAGAGGAACACAACCAATGGTCGGACAGTGAAAAATCAACATACCTGATCACCACTCTGAAGGGCCCGCAGAAGTGCTACCCAGCATTCCGACAAATACAACTTACGAGGATACCCTTCAAGCACTAGATGACCGTTTCGGGGACCCACACTTTGCAGCTGCTTACCACTGCCAATTAAGAGCAAGGACACAGAAACCTGGAGAATCCCTGCAAGACTTTGCCACGGCCATTGAACTGCTTTCCCATCGTGTCTACCCCAATCTGCCTGCAGACCACATAGGAAGAGAAGCAGGACAAGCTTTCACATACAGAAAACAAGATGCTGACATAAAGATTCAGCTACTACTGGGAGGGGAGAAGACACTAAACAAAGTCCTCCGACAAGCACTAGAGCTGCAGTCAGTACTGGTAGCAGCCAGACCTCATGAAGGTAGCACCAAGACATACCCGAAGCTCCAATCATCCCCCACCCAACGAAGACATGCACAACAGTCAAGATGCTGGAACTGTGAAGAGCTGGGTCACTTTGAGAGCAATTGCCACTATGGCAGAGGAGCTGGAAATAGAGAGCACCGGGACCAAAAAGACGGACCACCAAGAAATAAACGGGAAACGCTGGGGAGATCAGAGTGGCAACCCAGTAATAACAGTGAATCAAGCTGGAGAAATGACCAACTGGTGGAAAACGAGCAATGGTCAGCGGTGAGGGGCGGATGCGGGCATATGCACTAAGGCCCCCACACTATGCACTCACTGACATCATGGAAAAGCCAACACCAGTCTGGACATCCAGGGATGGGTCGGTGATAAGCTGTGCCAGGTGACAGTGGACACTGGAGCATACGTCACGGTAGTAAGGCCGGAAAGACAACCAAACCCAGATTTCACGCTGCAGACCATGTCTGGAGGATCCCTACCTATCGTGAAAGAAGTTCTGTTGACCCTTACCTTGGGGCGCCGACCACTAACAATGTGGGTTTCCATCATGAATATCACCGATGAGCTCATCTTGAGACTGGACATACTGCACGCCTATAATGTGTCTGTGGACATAGGGCGCCAAACTCTTCATCTGGCAGAAGAAGAAATATCGTTACGGAGTCCAGGGGCAGGATCCCATCCTTCCAGCTTAGTAGTGGCAAAGGACCATGTGATACCCGCACAGAGCGAGGGAATAGTGATGGCTAGAATTGAGAATCATCTGGGAGTAAAAAGTGGTCTAGTAGAACCAAGCCAGCATGCCCATCTGCCTGATGGAATCTACATAGCCAGGACCCTAGTTCAGAACTGTCAGGAAGTACCAGTGAGGGTCATGAATGCTACCCACAGGGACCAAAAGCTCAGGAGAGGATCTACTCTGGCACACTGTGAGCCAGTAACACTGGTGACTTTGCCCAATGTGGGGCAGGCACCAGCACCAGGCCTAAAACCGAAATTAGCAGACGTGACCACAGCGGCCAAGCCACACCTAAACACGAGAGAATTTCAAGAGTTAGAGGAACTCATGGCCAAGTACGCGGATATCTTTGTGAGGGACAATGAAGATTATGGAAGGACAAACAACGTATATCACTGCATAGTCACAGGAGACTCCTGACCAATTCGACAGCCACCGAGGAGAGTACCCCTGGCAAAACAAGCAGAAATAAAAGAAATGCTTGACAACATGCGAGAACAGGGGGTTATAGAAGAATCGGACAGCCCATGGTCGTCCCCGGTCGTTTTGGTCAGAAAAAAGAATGGGGAAGTCTGTTTCTGTGTGGACTACAGGAAGCTGAATGACGTCACCAAGAAAGATTGTTTTCCACTACCCCAGATTGACGACACCCTGGACACGCTGGCTGGAGCCAAATGGTTTTCCACTCCCGATTTAAAGCATGGCTATCAATTATGCAACATGGAAGCGAGGCGCATTTTCTGCTGTCTGGCTGAGGGTTTATAAGAGAACTGGAATGCCTAAAGAGTCGGTTGAATTGTAGCAGTTGCCGAGTTCAGTTGTAGCAAGTGAATTGTGAAGACGACCGGAACGTGTGATTAGAGGCGATAGTGTGAGAAGGAATTGGGAGTGTGTAATACAGTGACCCTGGTATAGCTCCTGTATTGTACTCTGAATAAGTGAAGATTATTTATGATAGAGTGAATAGATTACAAGTATTGTGTAGGGTTTATAAATTGGGTAAACCCGCAACTGTGTTATAATTAATTGTAGTTACAATTTGTAGGTTGTTAAGTAAACCAATTAACAATCCGAACATCATCTTTAGAGCCAAAAACATTCCAGTATCTTTCCAGATTGATAATTTTATTGACTTTGAATTTGAATTGATGAGATTTTGCTGTGTCCTGAAAAAGGTGTCTTTATAATCTAACACAACTGCTATACATTTTACTTTCATATAGCATTGAACTTTTCTTTTTCAAAACACAACGTTTCGGAGACTGGATTCTGTCCCTGTCGTCAGGTAAAACCGACTCAGTTGGGTCCAATAAATATAACAAGCCCCTATCTTTGGAGATAGCCAGCATTACAGTCAAGATTTAGGCTGTCTGTGGGTAGAAGTTGGCCATATAAAACTTGAAGTTCTCATGGAGACTGAAAATAATAAGAGACTCCTGGGTATCGAGCAGTGTCAAAAAACAACAGAAGTCTGATGTTTGGGTAGATTATACAAATTACAGGCAGGAGAAACGGCTTTCTTGCTTCAGATGACAGAAGATATTCACACCAAGAGTGAAGCATCAACATTCAGACATGACTTCTGATGGGTTACCCTAACTTGACTTCCCAGATTAAGCAACAGTGAGCTGGAGGGTAATGAGATCAGTTTATACGTAACTCCACTCACCATCTGTCCTGAAGGTGGGGCTTCAATGATATAATAACATATATGACCAACATTGTTTCCCCATCACTGCATTCCATGATGATGCAGTGTGGACATAATACTCCCAGTTAATGTGGAAGTTCTGCTGAGATTGTTTTATAGTAAGTTGGACAATTTACTACCATCCTAATTTATTCTGTGTTTTATGGTTTATAGATTTCAGTCGCCGCAACTCATTAGAGCTGGGAGATCACTCTCGTGAATCAGAATTTGTGGTACTGAAAGAACGGAAACTAGTGCCAGTTTTGCCAGTGTACAATGGTATGCTGAGGTTTTCCTTTTTGCTGGAAACGTGTCAGCCTGGTTCTGTGCCTGATCCCCATTTGTTAGCTGCAACACTTGACTTGGTAAGTGGAGTATGTTGTCTTGCATTTATTTACTCTTATGTTCATCACTACTGTGAAGTTGTCCCAGTGGCACTGAACACAATCGAGGGTTTAGATGTTCTGAGAAGGACCTATATCTATATACACGTATTAGCATTGTTGTGATTATTCAGAGTTCTGTGGACACACTTTAATATGTTGCTGGTGAGATAATATGGAGCAGAATATGTAAATGAAATGTTCAATTCATCAATCTTGTCCAGTTATATTTTGTGACTTTTTAAGAAAATGAAATAACTGTCCATTCTTGAATACAATTGGTTTTTACATTTAGTTACAATGAATAAAAATCAGTTCTGAAGGTAATAACTCTTTTCAATTTGAAGTTTACATTGTGTTAATGCACACATCTCATAATGTAGTGGGGGGACCTGCACGTACTCATAGTTCTACTTATTTCTTCACCTGAACTACTCAAATTACCTTTTCCAGCTTGCATGCTTTGAAGTGATGCCAGAAGTTCCTGATATGAAGCAGTAGTCTAGATTGCCTCCATATGTCTGTAGCATGCCACTGATTAGGTTATAGCAAGCATCTACTGCTGCATCATAAATATTTTCTTTGCTTCATCCCTGTGAGATATAATAAAGTGGGTTTAGAGTAGGAGAATGAAAAGATTAAACTACCAGCCCCCTCCATGGCTGATCTCTGTGTCCAGAAAACAGCTATTCAACCAATTATACTCTTGTTGCGTCTACATGCTGTCATGAACATTAAGGGGTACATCCTCCAATATAGAGGAAGTGTTCTTTAAAGAAATTCAGCATATTGGATTGCATCACTGATTTGCTATCACATATGGTCCAGTTATGTAATCATGTTTGATTCTGGCCAAAAATGCACAGCATCTTTGTTGAAATGAAGAGCATCTAGTACCATCTGGGTTCACCAGTGCCTATTTGTGTAGGATGTGGAGACTGTTTACTGCATTACATCTGAATGTTGCCTTATCAATTCACAATATGAGTATACTGCAGGGAATGTCAGGTTCATGTACAGTTTTGTGTAGAAGCCATTGACAGACCTGCAGGCAAAACTCTTGTAGAAATTGTACATGAAAAAGATCCAGTTGGTTCTCATGCAGTGTGTGCCAAACAGAACTTTCAGAGAGGCATGTTTCATACATGACCTGACAAATTGTAGAGGCTGGGTTGGCATGTACAACATCAAACAGTTCCTCTTCATTCTGCACATTGTGTCTGCCATTGTCATTATGTGCTGGTGGCATGCATGCACTTGTTTCCCTCAGGCTGTGGTGTACTGTTGCAAATACTTATCTGTTGGGTTGCTTTCAGTCTGGATACCATCAGTCTACTCCCTCAACAAAGCTCTAGCATTTTCATCACAAAAAATATACAGGAAATGCATAGTGGTATAGTCTTCATTAGTAAATCATGCCATCTTGTTTTGCTGCTGTCTTATCTTTGCCAGTGGATGTAATGTGAGAGATCATAAACAAATGCAGCATAAGCTCCATCTTATGATACTGTGAAAGTTCCACCATGTGATCATGGAAGAAAAATTCAAGATCTAAAGTTTGAAATGCCATAATTCTGAAATGGTGGCAACTGTACAAGTGGTTGTTTAATGGGAGTGTGATTCTCTGAGTTGTAACTCTGTGCATTTTGGAGACAGCCCAAAGTTCCTCCAAAACTTTGGGCTCTGCTCAAACTACATGCTGTTGCAACCTAAAACACCATACTCTTTATATGAGGGGTGGAACTTTAATAGTGGCATCTATTTATTTACAACTGATACAAAATAGATGCATGTTTCAAAGTTTTACTGTTCTTCAATGTAGTCTCCAGCGTTGTGTACAACATGTTGCCAGTGATGTGGAAGTTGTAGGATACCTTTAGCAGCGCCTGTTGTGTTGGTAGTTCGAATGGAGCGGTCTACTGGCTGAAGAATCTTTGGAACAGATCTGAAATGAATACCACAAAGTGGTTCCTTCATCTTAGGAATAAAGTCGAAGTCACAAGGGCTTAAGTTCGGGTAGTATGGTGGATGGTACAGCACTTTCCAGCCACAGCTTGCGCTGCATGCGGCTGAGCATTGTCCTGCAAAATGATGTGTGGGTTCTGCAAAAAGTGTCAATGCTTCTTTCTCAAAGCTGGTCGCAGGTTGTGTTCCAAAAATGAAGAGTAATACTGTGCATTGGCGGTCTGCTGTCTGGGAACAGTATGTGTTAGGATATCGCCATCACAGTCGTTCATGAGAATCACCATAACTTTGCTGGGGTTCTGACGAACTTTTGATTTTCGTTGTGACCCGTAATGACGCCATTTGTTCAATTGGCGTTTCATTTGTGGCTCGTATGATTTGGCCCATGTCTCATCCATCTTAATAATATGGCGTAAGAAAGCCTCTCCTTCGCACTCATAGCGCTCCAAGTGGTTACGAGCAGCATTGTATCGTAGCCATTTCTGCATTTCCGTCAGATCATGTGGAACCCATCGTGATGCAATTTTTCTCATACCCAGGCATTCCTTCAGAATGTGAAGCACAGTCGTATGTGCTAATCCTGTCTCTCAGGCCAGCTCATGAATTGTATGGCATCAATCACTCTCCAATAACGCGGAAAGAACATATACTTCTTCTTCACTGACACTAGGACGATCTGGCCGACGCATGTCTGCCACATTTTGGTGTCCCTCGTTGAAGGCTTTTACCCACCTTGCCACTGTTCTGTAAGGCAATGCAGGTTCCCCGCAAGCCTCTTGAAGACCTTGATGACACTGTTGTGCTGTACGGCCTCTGGCACATTCAATCTTTATCCAACTCCATTGTTCCTGTTTTGGAAATATTGTGACAACACTACAATAGACCGCCAGCTAACACAAGGCTCTGTTCTTCTTGTCACTGCGAATGCACGTGATGTGGGAAGGGAGAGTCCATTTGCTCTGAGGTAAGGTAGGTATGTAACTAACGTGTGGTATAAGTGACATTATTTGGTTCTGTTGCATGGCGTCTCTACAGCAGTGTTGCCACTATTAAAGTTCCAACCCTCGTAGTCACTGCCATGAGAACCTCAGTTCCAGCTGTTTGTTTGCATTTTACATTCAAAATTACCTTCCTGACAATGCCATAATTTTAACCATATAAATTTGAATCATTCTGTGTTCATAGACTGAATGCTTCATTCACATCTGCCAAAGAAAGAACTTTGGGAATAGGAAAAAATAACGGGCATCCATTATGAACTTGAGTTCACATTAAGCTGTATGCCTTGTGTGCCAACCATGATTCTCATGATCACCCTATCAGTGGGCATAAGACAGTAACCCCCCAAGAAATGGATTATCTGCCTTGACCTAGGGCTAGACATTTCAATCAACACTGAGCACATAAACAAACAACCATATTATAAAGAAACCAACAACAATGTTCCTTATTTGCATGGTGTCATTTGTGAAATTCTGCTCAAATCAAAAATTGAATTATGTGATCTTAAAATTTTTAGCGTGTTTTCAATGTTGAATTGACTACTTGGCGTGTTTCTGCCTTGGCCTCTCTTCATACAAAGGAAAGCAATAATGGATATTGTTATCAAAATATAACAACAGAAACAAATATTCTTTGTTTAGATTAATATGAACTTTGCCTTAAATTGTAAACACATATTCAAGATAACTAAGACAAATTTCCAAGTTGGTGACTGTATGGTTGTACTTTATTCCCAGATTACCTCTCCTAAGTGTGTATAATAGTTGAGTAAGGTCTGAGATTCGGAAGTCCCTTTTCGGTTGTGACTTTCAAATTGTTATGCCAAATGCTATTAGATCAATTGTGGAGGTTAAGGAATGTGTATTTGAATAATTTAGCTGGGAATCAGAACACCAGAAGTATACCAAAGCAAGGAGGTGAAGAGAGGTGAAAGGTTATGATCATTTTTCAGGAGGCTGTTTAACCCTTCAAGCCCAAATTAAATGGCTGCATATAAATGTAAAACTGCTGGAACTTCTATGGTCTGCTTCTTACTTGTTTCTTGCTTGGCTTACTCTTCAACCCTGAATATGGCAGCAATATGTTTCTCCAAAACGTTGATGGACATCTGCCAGACTGCAAGGTGTTACATTGTAGAAATTGAATATTTTATATATGGGCTGGCAGTAAGTCCATGTTTCTTGCAGTTGCACAGGAATGTTCAGAATCTTTTCTCAGCATGACACAATTCAGAATGTGACACTATTCACTGCAGTTGTACAAAGTTTTGTAGTGTAGTTTGTGCATGAACGGCATAATAGGCCTTGACTCTTCATTTGTGGACCAGTGCACTGAGTGTTTTAATATCAGACTGTTCAGTGAATTTTCTGCAAAATTACATATTCTGCTTATATTACCACTTACTGCTGCATTCTGGTCATAAACCAGAGAAATGATGTCTATTGTATGTCACTTCTGAATTTATTGTGGGGCCTATTCCATCAGGTCCATAATGAGAGGGAAGTTAATATTAGAGTCAATTTTACCGACTACACAACATATTTTTATTATTATTACACTACATGTTTCGACCTCAAGAGGTCATCCTCAGGTGTACGAACACAGCTGCATAATTACATGCAATGATATTTGTCTTTTCACTTATTCGATCCTGTATCCTCTCACAAAACACAAGTTAAAATATTATTTAAATAATTGAAAATAATATTTTAACTTGTGTTTTGTGAGAGGATACAGGATCGAATAAGTGAAAAGACAAATATCATTGCATGTAATTATGCAGCTGTGTTCGTACACCTGAGGATGACCTCTTGAGGTCGAAACATGTAGTGTAATGATAATAAAAATATGTTGTGTGGTCGGTAAAATTGACTCTAATATTAATTAAATACACAACAGGATGCAAGAAACAATTATAGAGAGGGAAGTTTCTGCTTTAATTTCCAGGCTTTTCCATATTGTTGCACGTGTCCATTTGGTCATTCTTGCCTTTAGGCTATTGTAGTCTTCAGTGACTGCAAGGTTCATGGTATTTCCAGATTTGTCTCTGATGTTCCTTCAAGCTGGTGGAGGTTGAATATAGGTGGGGATGTATCACCCTACACTTCAGTGTTTGTTGTAAATGCTGTATTTTTACTCTTTGTCCCTCCATTTCTTATGCTTTTCTTTCTCATGCTCCTGGGTTGTTTCTGAAGAAAATGGCTTCCTTGTAATTTCTCTTCAGAATCAGTTCAAAAAACAGTTCTATTATGTTAGTGCTTTCCAAATAACCTAAATGCTATTATGTTGCTGGTAGTCTCTGAAAAACTGATCACATATGCTTTTTGTAATTTTATTACAAGAATGCATACAGTTCCCCTTTTTTGAACACCAGTCCCACATTTTTATGTTTTGACTGCCCTGGGATTTAATCCAGGCCTCAGAGTTAAGAGCTGAGTGACTAACCTTGTAATATAGCATAATATCACATGATGGATATGCTTGTATCCACATTTGTTTGTCTACAATTTTAGTGTCAGAAATTAATTTACCCCATTTTAAAAATGGTCAGACTAAGTCAGAAAATTTGATAGCATATCACTACATGCAATGATTCCTCATATATTTAAAGCCAGCATAGAGGAACAATCTGTAATCTTCATAGGATGTTCCACATGGATAGGGATAATGATAATGAAGTATGCATAACTGGGAATAGTTCCTTTCTTAATTGTTTAAATTTAAGGCATTTCAGCATTTTGTTCTAGAAAAGTTTGCTGATTTCACCGGATTCTTGTATTAGGTCTAACAGTTCCTCTGCTTTGCACGTGTTCAGATGCCTCTGTTTTAAGAACTAAAATTTGTGACAGTGGTGCCGGAATACAAATACTGTTTCCATGCATTATCCAGCATACTGTTTTTGTTTAAAACAACATTTCAGAGACTGGATTCTGTCTCCATATTCAGGTGAAACTTACTATGTTTGGCCCAATCAATAGAGCTAGTCCCTAACTCCAAATGGGTCCAAATTAGGTTTTTCCTGATGACAGAAACAGAATGCAGTCTCTAAAGTGCTGTGTTTTAAATAAAAGCAGGATGATGGATGAAGTCCAGAAGCATAACATTTGTGTATCTAAAGTGCTTGTCTTAGTTACCTCCTACGATATGTCTGCATTAGTCTAGAATAAGGGAAGGTTGAGATATCGTTTAAATTCATTTTTAACTTTCAGCCACATGCACCAGTTGTGTCAAGAGCTGCCCTTTTTCTGGAATGTTCCTACTTTGTACATTGCTGCAACAAGGGGCAGTGGCCAAATTGGATGAAATTGAATTTCCCTATATTTAGACCATCAGGGCCACTATCTAACAGAGGAGCTCCCTCAGGATTGCGACGTACTCACATTCTGCAGCGTACAGCTGGAAAGATGTTCCATCAGTGGGCAGAGGTAGGTAATTGAAACTGGCTTGCAATTTGTATAGAAAATATTACTGTATTGTTGGAGTTTTCGTGTTCAAGGCTTCCTGGGATGACAGTGCCTGCACATCTAATTATAATCATGGTGTCTCAGGGTCAGGTCTTAACCATGGACTGTCTATGCTCTTTCAGATAATCTGTGAATATTCCAAATCTATTCATACTAAACTTTCAATAGTACTTCCACACATTAATGACTAGACATGGGATTTGAATTGGTAATTAGATTTATTGAACACACAAAACTTGCAAATACAAATAATTGTAAATTTATTGCTAATGTATATGCTTAACTAAACACTACAGGACACTCAAAGTGTTTTCAGTTTGCTATGTCCTCACATTCCTATTGCTTGGTAGTGGCTTTCAACATTGTGGATTCCTACATCTAGGTATTCCTATTGATCTCTTTCCTTCTGGCTTTCTCACCAAAATCCTTTGTGCATTGCTGTTCCCCCCATGCATGCCACATGGTCAAATGTACTGGAAATGACTGATTTTTCTGATTTCCCCTAGCTTCTCTGAAACATTTTTTCTCTTGGATAAAAATGTAAATATGTATTATGATAATCTTTGTGTATGGTTCTTGAATTCACATGTAGGAGAGACACACACAGCGAAGAAAAGGGTTCATTACTGCAACTCTTCAATAAGAACACATCAGAAGTGTAAAACTCATATTTCAATAACTTGACTGTATTTGCACTCCCCCCACATAAAAAGAAACAGATAATTTGACACCTTCTAGTCATTTTGATTTTGCAACTTTAGTTAATGTATGAAAGTAGACCCGAAAATGTCACCTTTATGCAAGAATCCACCAGATCTGAAATGTTATAAATCTGAGTGAATGCGCAAGCCTGCATGCACTTGTAGGTGTATGACGAGGGTAAGTTCATTTCAGATGAAATCTTTGGAACATGTTTGAATGAAGAAAGCAGCCTTCTGGGATGTGGCACTGTGTAGATATTGTGTTAACCAACATTTCGGAGGAATGTATTGCTTACATCTGCTCACACTGGTTCTTTGCTTGCGGATTTTCTTCTTTTTTCTTCTACCCTGAAAATGGAAGCTATACGTTCCTCCGAAACATCGGTTAAAACTATCTACATGGCCCCATATCCAAAAAGACTGCTTTCTTCATAGTCACCGCCGTGAAAACCTCAAATCTTACATATCTGAATGAATCCATACTGGTGAGTGAGGCCTACTGATCAATCGAAAGTTATATCTGCAGTTGTGGATTGCAAGTGGAAAACTTAAAATTCTGTCTATTCAGTTGGATCTCGGTGAAGTAGATTCTGAGGTTCTGGGGGGAGGGGGTGAATGTTAGCTCAGAACGTTGAGTGCCTGGATTTGTTATTACGAGTGTTGCACCACTAATACCTGCTATCAGATTTTAGATATTAAGGTGTCATTTATCAGTTCTTGAAGTGACATTTTTCATTAATAGAATTTGTAACAAACTATATGGTGCAATCCAAAAGTTCCTGAAATTTGAATTTTGTGCGTGAATGGTTATGAGTACATCGAAATACTGCTAGGTGTCTCCCCACACACCCTTCTTGAATCAGTGTGGGAAGTGGCGTCGAATTGAGTGGTTGGGTTTTTTGTTGGTGAACGTATTTCCATTGTTGCGTTTCTGTGAGTTTGCGGTTTTGCGTTGGCTAACCTGAGAGAGCAGCATGTCTGTATAAAGTTTTGTTTCAAACTTGGGAAAACCGCTGCAGAAATGCACCAAATGTTGAAGCAAGCTTTTGGTGACAACAGTTTAGGCCAGACACAAACTTACGACTGGTATAAGTGTTTCAAAAATGGCTGAACATCGACTGATGATGATCATTCGGGATGGCCGTCAACTGGCACCACACCAGAAAATGTCATGAAAGTTAGAGATCTGATTCTGCAAGATCATAGACTGACCATCCAAGACCTCTGTAAGACCTTGGGACTAAGTTATGGTACTTGTAAACGAATTTTGTCAGAGGAACTGAACATGAGGAGGATTGCGGCAAAGTTTGTGCCACGACTGCTGCAAAATGAACAGAAGCAGCATCACTTGGAAGTCTGCAGGGAACTTCAACAACAGCTTCAAGAGGATCCAAACTTTCTTTCGAAGGTTGTCACTGGTGATGAAAGTTGGGTTTATGGCTATGACGCTGAAAGTAAGGAGCAATCATAGCAATGGAAGAGCCCTTTTTCACCTTGGCCAAAAAAAGCTCGACAAGTCAAGAGCAACATTAAGTCCATGTTGATCTGTTTTTTTGATATTGACAGGATTGTTCATAAGGAGTTTGTCCCTCCTGGTCAGACAGACAATAAAGAGTTCTGTCCCGATGTTCTGAGGCGTTTGAACGAGGACATGAGGAGAAAACGTCCAGAGAAGTGGCGCACGAACGACTGGATACTGCACCATGATAACACACGACCGCATACGGCTTACGGCTTGTGCAGGAATTTTTGGCTAAAAACAAGATGGCAGTTGTTCCCCACCCACTGTACTCACCAGACTCAGCTCCATGTGACTTCTATCTCTTCCCCAAGATGAAACTCAAGTTGAAGGGGCGAAGAATTGAGACAGTTGAAGAAATTCAAGTGGAAACACAGACGGTACTAAACACTCTGACAAAGAAAGACTTCCAGGATGCATTTCAAAAGAGGCAGACATGCTGGGATCGGTGCACGCACCCCCAAGGGGACTACTTTGAAGGTGATGGTGCAGGATAAGATCCAGGTAAGACGTAATAGTTTTTTATTAATATATCTTGGGAACTTTTGGATTGCACCACGTATTTACATATTGTTATGTGACCTGAGCTTGGAGAGGTGGTGGATGTGCACCCCAAGTTTTCAGGATATTCGATTTCACAACCCCCCTCCCCTGTTGGATTGCAGATTGTTCTTGGACCATTTAGCCCCTGCTGCTGATCATGTGGTCCAGAATAATTACCCATGAATAAGTGTTGTGGAATTTGTGTGTTCACCTGGAGAAACAAAGCGTATGGTGTTGAAATGATGTTAGTTTTGTACTGGCAGAGATAAGAGAGGATGCAATGTGAGAAGAGTGAAGTGGTATACCTGTACAAGGAAGGAATGGTAGACTAGAGAAGCTGACAACTATATCGTATATGGCTATGGACAGATATTAGTTACTCCAAAATGATACAGATGGCAACTTGTGCCTGAAGTGGAACTGAAAATGAAACCTGCACTGCAGGTGGTGTTGGGGTAGTTAAATAACAAGTGCTGGACAAGAAGTAAAAAATTACATCTGCTCCAGTGAAGATGAACTTGAAGAAGGGCTTAACTGCCTACCAGGAAGAAAGGGTGAAATAAATAATATAAAGACCAGCCAGAGCAAATGCACAGGAACAGACACGCTAGACAGGCAGCTGTAGGGCTTTGTGGTAGCAGTTCAATGTCTACGTGAGCATGATATCATGCTGCAGGTGACGCTGCAAGACAAACACACCAATCAACTCAACGTAGATATGAATTAACTGAAACCTGACCTGATGTGGAGGTGAGACAATGTGACTTGGAAATGACCCATCAGGACTTCAAGACATAGTCACTGGCAGTAGAAGTTCAAAATAGATGTGGAGGTGGCAGAAACATATTGACCATGGCTGATGTGTTGAAACTGCCAAAGATTCATGGATCCAGGTTCTGGAAAGTGAGGCCATGGCTGATCAGAATGGTAAGGCAGCTCCTGAGAAGGACAAGCATCTACAGACCATTCTGCAGGGGCCAGAGTGAAACGTGAGGATGTCGTTTAGGTTAGTGAAGGGCCACTGTGGAGACAATCAGCTTTCAGCGGCTTACCAATCACAACTAAAAGTCCTGGCCCAAGTGAGTGGTGGACATGAGTTTGCAGCTCTTGTTGAGCAGTTGGCCCACTGTGTTCATCTAAGATTACCCAAGGACTAAATCCAGAGGGAGGCAGTCACTATGTTCATTGATGGAATGAAAAATTGGGTCTTGAAACCGTGAGGTCCCTCAGTATATTCTATAACAAAGCCATAATCTAGAGGGTGCAAAGACGGTAGTTGTACTTCTTGAGAAGGAATGACGGTCCACATTCTGGCAGTATGTAAAAATCAGTTGTGTTAGAAAAGACTTACTGCAGACGTGTAGTGGGGTAGGTCAACTGGGACTCAGGATACGAGCAACAGACAGCTTGAAGAGGGACAGCTGACATCATCACTCTTATCACCTTGCTTTGCACTGGACATTCCAACCAAGAGGAGCATCATCAGCCCAATTGCCTACGGCTGGATAGCGGACCAGCCATGCCATGTGGTCATGACACCTAGGCATTTGTGATCACTGCCAGTTCTCACACCACTTCAGGACCACTGCAGGAAGCCTAGTGGGCCCATACATTCTGCAGATGGCGTTCAAGGAGACCCTGTCTGTTTTGAAGAAAACGCTGCTGGAGCTCACTCAGGGGTTGATCATATTTTCAATCTAGATGTTCATTGCAAAGCTCATAGATGAGCTCTTCCTTCGATATGATATCCTATAAGTTTTCAAAGCAGATCTTAAAGAGAGACAGGCTGTGAATGGGTCAAAAAAATGTCGTTATGGCATCAGGGAACCTGACCACAGCACTCCCTCTTGAAGCTTGCCACTGATGAGTTGATCCCACCTGGGTGATGACGGCAACTCCGCAGCTGGTGGGATGCCTGGCGATGTTGGAGAGCCAACTGGAACGGCGTTTGAAGATTACATACACAAGAGTCTGTGCATGACAAGGATGTTGGTAAATGCTTGATGAAAAGGAGCAGTGTCTGAATTATGAATGTGTGTGACTTCCCCATGTTGGTTAAAGGCATCGCCCTGATCTGCATCTATCTGATCAAGTTTGCTATGCAATGAACAGTTTGCAAAACAGAACTCCAGGGACTCAGTGAACATCTGCATGAAATGGTGTTCAGCACCAGAAGGAAACTTGGCACAGGTGACAACTGACTGTTGGGGAATTAGTCTTGAATGCCGCTAAATTTTCGCAATGAAATCAATGGATATTGGTGGTCTATTTAAGTTTACCACAGTGTCAATTACTGTGATGCCTGTGCGATCAGTCTGCCCCAGTGTAGACAGCCATTAGCCTAGCAGGCTAATGTAGACAGGATTTTAATGGATATGCAGTGATAAAGGGTAGAGTCCTTGGTCTTCACCGATTGTGCTCATCATGCATGAATAGGAACATAGAGCTGTGGTTTCGTGTGGAGTACCAATGGCCAAACGACATAACAAAGAATTTCTTCCTGCTACCAAGAATAGATGATACCTTGGATATGCTTGTCATAGCCAAATGGTTCTTGACACCAGATTTGGAGAGTGGCTACTTGCAGGTTAGCCTGTACCACAGTGACGAGGAGAAGACGTCTTTATCTACAGTTTAGGTGTTGTGGCACTCAACACTTATATCTGTAGGCCTAGCAACTTTTGAGACTCGTGTAATAATTCCTGGCCTTGTGTACCTGGATGATAGGATTGATGTCGGCTGAAAATGCCGCGAACTGAACTGCCTACCCCTTATGTCTGTTGTAAGAGAGTCTGGACTTGTCAGTTCCACCCATAGGTGCAAATTATCTTCTACGCATGTGCCATTATATTGTGACTGAGCTTTTTCTAGTACAGCTGTGGCATCCGTTGAAAGAGAAAAACTAGGTCAGGATGATCCGTTATCTACTGGCTTTCAGTTGTTCATAGCTCTAATGGCAGACATCTCCACGTCAACAGCCCAGCTCACAGAAGAGGCACACACCTTGGGTTGATACTCTCATAAATGCAGAAGGCCCAGGAATTTATATTAGCTTACTACAGGGAGACCGTATCCAAGAACTGCTTTGTGACCTCATGGAATTCTTCGTCTATTGTGAACCCACTGGAAGGTCAGCATTAAGGTCTATGCCATTTTTTAATACTGACATTTTTTTTTCTATATTCTTAGGGGCTGCTGCCAAACCTATTTCAGACCATACTATTTATGTTTTTTCTTCATACTTTGAGCACCAAGTGATGAGTAGTTTACTGAAACCTACTTTCTTCATTTGCATACTTTATGTAGTATCAGACAAGTTGGAAGGGCATATTATTTAGTATCAACGCTTACTTGAATATAATAAACGCTGAATTAAGCATTAAAGAGCTCTGATATTTCTGATTATCAGAAACTGTATTATTTCATTCAGGCACTTGGGTCAAGACTGGAAGAGATGGTGCAAGAAGACAAACAACATGTTGGCAATATTGTGTCCATGGTGACAGAAGAATGTCGACAGAAAGAGCTTCTTATGGAAGATGAAGAGGAAGACTTCTTGGATGAAGGTAGGAAAGATCAGTATATCACAGATTGTGTAGAATCATTATATGCTATTTGTTGTGTGTTAGTTCAGATAAAATGTTAAGCTTGTTCAAGTGTTGAAAATCTGAGAACGTGATGTTTATAGGAATTCAAAAGAAACTTCCTATCTCAGTTTTGGGTATAATTGATCAAGATCGCAGTCTTAACGACAAATTTCAGTGTTGTGTGTCCCAAAAGTACCCATCTTAGTAACCATTTATTAAGAAGTGTTGTTCAGTAATAACAAAAAAGTCATATATTCGTTGAAAAAATCAGAATTATCGAAAGAATTAAGAATAGCCAAATAAAAACTATGAGTAGCTGGAGTCTAGAACTCCAGAGGGAACATTAGACAGTTGGATGAGAGAAGAAGTCAGATTATGTTTATATGCACCACAGAAAATGACACAGGGATTCAAAGGAAGAACAGACTCTGTGAAAACAGTTACCTAGTTAATTTTGGTAAAATTGATTCCACCAAAATCATGGTGTAAGTATGTGCCCATAAAGGTGGTAATTCTCAAGTTATTTAACGAACTATTTGACATACATGGTGTGTCCAGGATCCATTAGGCATCATTTGTTTAAATTTTGCCCTGCAATGCCATCTGTTGGTGAGTTGTGGCGATAAGATTCTTGAAGTTTCAGCTGTGGCCGTCTATAATTTCAAAACGCGAGCCTTGCTGCATCATGTGTTCTGACCTTGAATGTAACAGTACTGTTCTGACACTCATCGGAAAATGACAGTTGAACAGAGAGCCAACATCAAATTTTGTTTGAAGTTAGGCAACACAGCCGGAGAAGCTTATGAAATGATGAAAATTGTGTATGGTAGAGATTGTTTGAGTCGCTCGAACATTTTACGATGGCATCCTATATTTCGTGATGGCAGGGAGGACATTGAAGATGCTCCACATACATCAAAGCCGAGAACAAGTTGCACTGAAGGAAATGTGGAAAAAGTGACCAGACCAAAATCCTTGCATCAGACAGATGTGGTTCTGCAAGACTCATCGAGGATCTTTTGGGAATACCAAAAAGTACTGTGCATCAAATTTTCACCAAGGATTTGGACAAATGGAAGGTCTGTGCTCAGTTTGTATTACACGCTCTGTCAGGCGATGAAAAACATGCCAGAGTAGAACACTGCAAAGACATGTTATGGTCGGCCCAAAGTGATACAAAATTTACAAAATCGATCGTTACTGGTGATGAGACATGGTGTTTTCAATATGAGCCTCTCACAAAGCGGCAGAGTGTAGCGTGGTTGAGCCCAAAGAAGCCAAAACCAAAGAAAGTTCACATGCAAAAGAGTCGCGTAAAGACACCGCTAACCGTTTTTTCCATCCCAAAGGAATCATTCACAAGGAAATATCTGCCAGAAGGTCAAACAGTGAATTCTGATTATTGTCTTGGAGTCCTCAATCGTTTGTGGGCGAGAATTCTTTGAATTAGACCTTAATATCGAGAGCAAGGTTCCTGGTCGCTCCTCCACGACAATGCCCCACTCCACAAATCGAAGATCATGCACAATTTTTTGGCCAGAAAAGGGATCACAGTCCTTGTTCATCCTCCATATTTGCCAGATTTGGCTCCAGCAGATTTCTGGTTGTTCCCAAAAGTTAAGTTGCCAATGAAAGGAGACCATCACGACACCATCCAGGACATCCAAAGGGAATGTACCAGGATCGGAGGTGGATGTTTCAATGTGGGATATGCGAAATTAACACTGGAGATGAATTTGCAACTGGTTTCAGTGCAACAGCAAAACATTTTCCTGAAAATATACACAAATTCATTGAGAGTAATGAGTACACTGATGAACTACAAAATTGTGACTAAAGATTACTGTAGTACAAGCAGCTTCCAAATAAATGGCTGGATATTAAAAAGCACCCAGGAAAATATATATAAATATTAACAAAGCAGTGGTGGCACTGTTACTGTATTCCAGTAAGATGCAATCACAAGCAGGAACCATTGTGCATTGGTAGAAGTTTCAAGCGCATCAACATGAAATCTGTTCCTGTGGTCTACATAGACAATACCAGTGCTTGAACAGCATCCAATATTTTTTCTTGCTACTTTGAAAGTGAAGTTATGCCATCAGTAAGACACCATTTGCATTCCAGAATATTTGAAGAAATTTCTTTGTTTCTGTTGGATCACTGCAAAGCCAATGCTCCTGCTGCTGTCCTGAAATCACAAGATGGAAAGATCAGAGTTATATTTCTGCCAAAAGATGTCACTACACTGATTCAACTAATGGACCCTGGTATCATTGGGCATTCAGATTCTATTGTTGTGGTATGCTACGCGGTGTTGTAAATTCTGAATTGCAAATTATGGGATTCTTAATTCCAGTAATGCTAAAGGATGTTGAATACATAGTTGATTTAGCTTTCAGTGACGTTATATCAGCTACTATAGCAAACTACTAGAAACGATGTCTTAGTAGAGAGTAAAGTAATAACCAAGCCCAGTAGACCACTGTACGTTGCGGTGCAAGGGCTGAGAAGGCCCACCCTTTATAAATTCTTTCATTCAAGGTAATGATTCCATTAAGGTAGATGTACAAACACTTCTTATGCATCATCTCTTGTGAGGAGGACAACACAACTTTTGTAAAAGTGGGAAGATTGATGAACTTGGAGCCAGTGACACAGGAAAGTGCTCGAATACATTACTGAAGTGATAACATTGCTAGAATAACAGAGTGGTAGTTAAACACTTGTTTGCTACCATCGGCCAGTATTAAGCACAGTACTCTGAAAGATGCAGTCATCAATTCATACAACTTAACCCGTTGCCGTGGTTCGTCGTGTATGTTTCGTCAGGGATTTAAATCGTCTGGGGGGGTTCGGCGTGTATGTTTCGTCCAGCTGCACACCTATGTTATAACGCCCATAATAATTGATGGTTTTGCTGTAGATTGTTAGATTTTTCGCTGGCCTGTTGTCACAAGAACAGAGTATACTAAGCCAACGAGTTTAGCTGAGATAAGTCATTGTTACATATGCCTGTCTTGCAGCAAAGTTCCTGTGGCTCTTGCTAGCGGTTTCACCGCTATGAATGTCGTTTATTCTTTGCTACGAAGTTATAAACAGGAGAGACGTGATGTGATGTGTTTATAATATGATATTGCCCCGAGCTGGCCACACTGACACACTCAAATGGCATTCTTAGAAGAGGGTTGTCCAAAATTTTATTCTTGTAAAATCGATTGCTTTCGCACAGTACATAGCACCCATTTCTTAGAAAAACGCCACAATTTAAGGCAGAACACTGTGGTCACCCCCTGAGACGATACGGATGTGTGTGGGGGAGGGAAAAGTACTCATTATCGCTCCAGTTGACGCCATTTTATCGTACTGACCTTGGTGGTCGTTTCGAGG